AGGTCCAAACTATTAACTTAATTATAAAAATAAGTTTTTAATCTAAACTTTATGGTTGCTGAAATATACAAAAGAATAGTGTATTTCAATTTTTAATATTTTTTTATTTAAATTTTGGAAATGTTAATTTTTATTTTGTTATTTTCAACTTGAAAAAACCGAATAGTGTGATGCAAAAACAACTAATTTAACTTTTCAATGTAATGTCGATCATGCTTGGGGTTGAACATAAATTTAAAGATAAAAAGATTGATTTAAATGATGGTATAAAATATTTAGTAGTTTTTTTCAAAAAAAAATATTATCTTTTGATTGTAACGAGTATAATGTTGTTATTATTGTCGTGTTTGTATGAATGACTATTTGACATTTTTCTAGCTAATGGATTGACTATGTGACGTATTTTATTGTATCTTTTAATAAATGATAAAAATGTCATATTTTATTCAAATGATTATTTTGATTAATTATTGGTAATACAATACTCGTTTGTTAATTGTTTTAAGTAAAAAATGACTAATTACCGTATTATAAAGTAATTTTTGAATAAAAATTAAAAAAATAATTTTGACATTAATGTTATAATTCGTTTAAACAATTACAATAATAAATATAAAATATTTTGAAATTAAATTTTGTTTGAAAATGTCATTTTACAACACAATTAAATAATAATGTTTGAGAAACATTTGTTTTGGAAACAAGTAGTTTCAAAACACGTTGTTTAAAAACGCAACAAGTATTATTTATTTTTAAAACAATTTCAAAAACTGAAATTGTTTCACAAACTTTTTTCTTCGTGTTTTAAAACATACTAAAATTATTTGTTTCAGAAATAAACAAAAAATCGTTTAGGAAACCGTTTCGACATCCCTAGTAGTTATCGCAATATTTGATTAAATAATTAAATACACCAATTAATCAATTATTATGAGACACCCGGATTGTTCAATACCATTTTCATGAAGTCCAAAGTTAAAGATATGATAAAGAAATTATCTAAAGTGACAAGTATATTATTTTACCTGTTTATTGTTTATTGGAAAAGATTATGCCAAGATGAAAAACATTTTCTATAAACAAAGTTTGTAACATTAATTATAAGAGAAAATGTTCAACATTTCATAATTGTTCAAATCTATATTTCCCGTAATTTATCGGTGTTTTGGCGCAATGAAATATAGAGAGAAAATAACAAAAATGTTAAAAAAGAGAAAAATGAAATTAGTTTAAATTGATTGGACAATTTTGTAAAATTTCGGTTTTTTTCAAAGGGTTAAAATGATTGGTCGTTTCCAAATTGTGCACATATATTACAATGGTAAGAAGCCCGAATCATTAGGAGTTTTTACTAAAGGTACGGATTCATTTCAAAAGTACCGGGTCCATTTTCCCTACTGTACTACTGTATATATAAATAAATAATATATACAAGCAGTGAAGTGAAGGTATAAATTTTCAATTGATTGCTAAATAAAAGGGTTTTGAGAATAATATAACAATTTTACATCATATTTTTACTGTTTTTTCGGGTTTATATTTTTAGTCAATAAAACTAAAATAATATTTTGAAAAAATTTAGACCCATTTTTAGATTATTTTTAAATTCGACTTTGCTGAAAAAATAAGTTGAAAAATAAAATTGAACGAACTTAAAAAATAAATTGAAGTCTAAAGAAGAAAAAGGCAAACACCAAGCATTAACTCTTGTTTAAAAAACAAAGATTAAATATTTTTGGTGTCATTTAACACGTTTGTTATTGTTATAATGTTATTGTTTAGCCACTTATTAATAAATATTTAAAGATTAAATTTTATTACATCATTTTTAAGATCTTTAATTTATGGTAAGTTGTGTGTGGTTATTGGAGATTGGGCGAGTTGGCAAAAACAAACACCCTTATCATTTGTTTGAGTTGTGATGAAGCAGGATTTGTGAAGTTTGCTTTGTTGCCAAGTTTAGTTAAGTGATGTTTTTTTATTGGTTTATTCGCTTCTTGGTTTATGTGATTGTTGTTTTCTCTATAGTTTATAAATGATTAAAATAACTATAAAATATTGATTCCAAACAAACAAAATGGTAACAAGATAATCAAAATGTCGATATTTATTATAATAAAAAGGACAAATTCGGCTTGTTAATAAGGGTTTTATTGAGAACGACAATTTCAGCCAATCAAAATAAAATATTTCGGGATAAGAAAACCCTATTATTTAGCAATCAATTGAAAATTTATACCTTCACTTCACTGCCTTTATAATTATTATTATTAATTATAATTATAATTACAATACTATCCAAAATAACAATTTTTTTTTTAAAATACAATTAATATAAAAAAACCTGCCAGAAATTAAAAAACATAAAAAGCTTATTTTATCGAAAAAAACAACCTCATATTATTAACTATAAGAATATTTTTTTA